TGAGTGGCAGTTCGAGGGCTTGAGGTTCGGACACGTCAGCGACTGTGGCACTGCGCATTGGTTCACCGTCACCCTTATCTTTTTTTGTTTTCCATTTTACTTCCTTAATTGCATATACAAAGATACAATTTTCAGAAAGCGAGGAGCGATCAATCAAAGTGCTGCAATTCAACACACAATGGGGAAAGTCAGGCGGTGGTGGTGGGTTTCGAACACACATCCTGGAGATGATAAGTTGATGACGCAGCCACCGGGCCACCACTGCCGGCGTCACCTGTATGACAAGACTAGATTATCCTTGTTTCGTGTGGTACTTCCTGTAAGTACGCTTCTTACTCCCCGAATATTTTTTCTCGTTCATTTCCATACCCAGACACTTTTTGCTCATGACCTTGACAGCCCTTTCGGCAACGGAACTCCGAATCATCGGGAGTTTGATCAACAGTCGAATACGAGATTTGGCACAATTGTTGGAACAAGTTGACCACGTACGCGGTACCCGAATTTGTCGAGTACCAGAAGAGTGAGTATAATCCTCTTTCTTTCTTTCTTTCCATTGCATAAGGCAACCAACCATTTTTTCATGGTTGCTTCATTTTAGTGAATGCATTAATAGTGATGCAATTTTCAGGAAGGGGAAAGCAATTAATCTGGGCTGCCATGGAGAGAGTTAGACGATGGTGGTGGGATTCGAACACAAGTTCCCCGGAGCCATAATCTGGTGACATTATCACCGGACGATGACCACCCAGTTCGAGCCCCTTTTTATTGATCACGCAGGATTGCCCTAACCTTTGTTTGTTCTAACCGACAGAGTTTCAATTTTCTCACTTTCGTGCGGCGGTTTTTAATGCTGTCTCATGATTCGAATGTTCAAATCACTGTCATTGTGAAAATGCAGCTTTTCATTGGTTAAGCGTTGCTCGATTTCGCATGAGTGACGTAAACTGCAGTTCATCTCGTACGACTAAGGAGTGAGAGGAAGAACTGGACAGATGAGATAGAGGTTTTTCCCAATAAATTCCTGAGACTTTTGGGGCACGACAGACTTCGCGGCAGCCCACATCGACCCACGGTGTTCTCTGAGGGAACCCTGACCACAGCCTTTGAATTTGTACGCAAGAGCTTGACCGCGAAGCACCTGTATGACAGCTTCCAGAAACCTGTCACGCAAGGTTTCGGTTCAGAATGTTGTTCCGCATTAACCTTTAGTTTTATGCATCCAGTGAAATAAGCGGAGAGTGGGATGAAAAACGACACCAGTAGGATGAAAGAGTCCCAGATACAAACTCCCGTACAGTATATATATATATATATATATATATATATATATATATATA